AAAAAAATGTGAAGGGAACTGCTTATAAATGAGGCAGCGCTCTGGAGGCCTCCTGAGGGACTGGATTCCAACACTGCATTTGTACCTTTCCGGAGCCATGCGAATCCCCTAATGAAATTTCATTTTTTAATTTGGAAGTTTAATAAGTCCGTTTCTAAAAGGCTGGGTACAGTGGCTCACACATGTAATCCCATCACTTTGGGAGGCCAAGAAGGGAGGATCACTTGAGGCCAGGAGTTTGAGACCAGCCTGGCCAACATGGTAAAACCCTGTCTCTGCTAAAAATACAAAAAATTGGCCAGGTGTGATGGCACACACCTGTACTCCCAGCTACTTGGGAGGCTGAGGCATGAATAATTGCTTGAACTTGGGAAGCGGAGATTGCAGTGAGCCGAGACCATGCCACTGCACTCCAGCCTGTGACAGCAACATTCTGTCTAAAAAAATAATAATAATAAAATGTTACTTTTAAAAACCAAAGTAACTGCAAAGAGCCTTTGCGCTCTCATGGTGCAATGTCCAGAACAGCAGCAGGCCCAGGCCTGTGGGGCACTGAAGCTGCCTTCCAGCTCATTTCACCAACCTACCCCACAAATGCCCAGCTGCACCCAGCAGGTTGCTCTGCCCGCCCTGAGCTCTGAGATGCTGCCAATTCTCCCCAACCAGAGGAGCCAACACCTTGGGGTGGGGCGACAGTGCAGGGCAGCGCACACCTAGCTCGAGGTGGGGTGACAATGCGGGGCAGGGCACGCCTACCTGCGCAGCGTGAAGCGCACTGAGTCCTCGTTGTGGGTGGCCACCATCACCTTGGCCTTGGTGTTATGCTTCAGCTCCTCTAACACATGGTCCAGGCACCTGTGGAGAGTGCCATGTGAGCCCAGTTCCAGGCCTGTGGTTACCTGTGCCTTGTTACCAGCTGCACAGGGAGGAGGCCAAGGCCAGGCCCAGGGCCATCTGGTGAGCTGGCTCTTTCCAAGGGTGCCCACAGCATCAGGAGGAATGGGAGCAGCATCTGCCCCTCCCAGCGCCTCATGAAAAAGACCAGCAACCAAGAACAAGCGAACGACGTCTGGGGCAGACAATTCGCTCAAAATGAGGTGGGGTGCAGCATCCCTGTATCTAATGTGCCATGACTCTGGACCAGCCCACACATGCCCATGAGTCTCAAGACAGACACAGCTTTGCTTCTAGGGAGGGGTCCTACAGTGCACCCCTGGCCCTGCAAGGAAATGAAAGAGAAGCAGGTCTGTGGGCCACAGTGGGGGTGGGCATCCTGGGGCACCAGGGTGCCTGAGCAGTACAGACCCCCTGCAGGGAGGACACTCAGCAGGCTTGACCATGTGCACATTCTCCCTGACCCAGCAATTCCATTTCCAGGAACCTAGGACAGCTGCATCCTCCGACACAGAACCCCTGATGGCCTGTGTGTACTGTATGTCCAGGTGACAGTATGTCCAGTGAGTCCCTATGACAACCACCAGACTGAAAACCAGTAAGATCAAAGACGCTGGACACACAGCCCTGGGCACCCCATGCTGGCTGTTAACAGTGCGGCTCTGCAAGCCCACACAAAGGGACCCAGATGGAATGCGAAATGAAAAACGCATTGGGCAGAGGACACACTACAACACAAACAACAACACTGCAGATGTGTGCACTGTGGCACGACATGCCAACGAGGAAACGCTTGGGGTCTCTTTGCATGTGCAACATGCACACACACCTCTAAGGAAAAGCCCATGGTCAGTCGGCCGGTGCTACATGAAAAGATCACCAAGAGAACTAGAGAGTAAAAGGAGGCGCAGAGCAGCTGATGGGCGATCCCACTGCGGGAACTGAAAAGCAAACAGGCAGAGCCTGCGGGGCAGAGGAGGCAGGGCACTTGTGCACATCTCTGGATCTAAGTGTCTGCAGGAGCCGGCTCAGGGAACAGTGGCCGATTTTGCTTTGTTCAATTGGCATTTTTATATTTATAAAAGAATAACCTTAATATTTTTGAAAAAGCAATACATAACACCAAAGCAGAGGAAATACCAGTTCTGACCTCAGGACACATACGGCTGCCACTCCTGCTGGGGGCTTCTGGCTCCAGCAGGGTAGGACACGGGCAGCCCCAGCAGCCTCTCCAAGCCCCTCTCTCAGTCCCAGATTCTTGGCATCCCACCCTGGGAAGATGGAGGTGTGGGAGAGCTGCGCACCTGTGGTACATGGCGTTAGTGGCCTCGTACGTGGGGTTGATGGGGTCCTCACAGCCGATCTCTGCTGCACGGGCTCGCTCCTGGGCCATGTATGCGCCCCGCACCAGCTTGGACCCAAAACACCAGCCCTCACGGCGAGCCAGCTCCACATCCAGGGTCACATTGTCATAAGCATCCTGTGGGGCCAGGGCCAAAAGTCGCAGGGAGCCTGGGCAAGCCCAAGTGACAGCAGGATGGGGCCTTCCTGGGCCCATGTGCCCCCAGGTATAGTCACCAGAGCTGGGCAGCAGCTGCCTGGGGAGGTGCTGCTCAGGGCACCTGGAGCAGGTGTGGTTGAGGATGGGCCCCCAACCTCTGTCCCCAAGGGGAAATGGCAGTGGGGACATCTACAGCCTCCTGTGTGGCCGGTGGACAGCCCTGTAGGGGCAGCCCAGGCACCAGTTGCCATCACGTGCTCTAGACTCCCAGGCCAACAGTGGGAGGAGTGCGTACTGTGGGCTCCTACCTGGACCCCTCCCCATGCCACCCTGTGTCCTTCGGGCACCCAGCTCACCCCTGAGAGCTCTGGACCTGCTAGGGTCCCTAAGCAGCCTGGGGCCCTCAGGCTGGGCTGGGGGTCCTGCCTTGAAGCATCCCTGAGCTCCCTGAATACATGTGACATCCTGGGTAAGTCCTTCTGGCAAGGGCCCAGAGCTTTCATCAGGTTCTTAGAGGGGTGCTCAACTGAAAACGAGCTTGAGGAAACGGTCATGTGAAGCCTTCCAAGTTGGGGGTGTCGGGCACATCTAGTGGATCCTCATAAAGATTGCTGTCTTCCTCCTGCTCATTAAACACTCTTGGCTGGTTCTGAGGAGAGGAGGGGCTGCAGGCAGCAGGCATCGGCAGAGACCTTTCTTCCCCCTCTGAGGCAGTCACCCCAGCCTCAACCTCCTCTGCAGGCCTGGCTGTGGCCACCACCCAGGGGCCTCTTTCCTGGACCGTGGGGTCTGCTCTGGGTGAGCTGTGCTGTAGAAGACCCCAACAGCCCCTCAGGGGCACAGCCCACTCTCTCCTCCATCCCACGAGCTCCTTGGCAGGTGCTCAGCATGGAACCAGGCAAATACCACAGAGCTCAGATGAGAGGAGCCCCTCCTGTGGCCGGTCTCCAAGCCCCCAGGCAGGCAGGCAGGGGCTGGGCGGGAGCCGACCTTGAGGTAGCACTGGTGCGTGCTGAAGATGAGCGGCCTCTCCACGTTGAACCTGCGCTGCATCTCCTGCGTCAGGTGGCTGATGGCGGGCTGGAAGTAGGTCTGCTCGGCATCCACCATCAGCCGCACACCCACCTCTGTGGCTTTCTGAGAGGTGCAGGGGAGGGGAAGGGGAGCAGTTGTTGCTCAAGTGAGGCAGGTGTCCTCCTGTGCATGAGTTTCAGGTCTCCAGGGCCCCAGCCCTCTGCCTGAGCAGGGCAGCTCACATTGGCCAGGATACCCATCTGCTGCAGCATCCTTGTCATCTGCAGCTCCTCTTCCTCAGTAAACTGGGACAGCAGGGGCTCCAGCTGTCCTGTCTAGGAGCACAGCACACAGTCAGGCCAAGGCCCAGGCTAAACCGCTCACTGTTCCCGGCCCACGGGAACCCTCTCACCCCCTGACGCAGGGCTGGGAGGGAGGGCCAAGGGGACACAGCAACACAAGTGTCCTGGAAACCCCAACCCAGCCAGTGCACTGCCCTACAGGGGGCCTGGCGGTGCCATGACAGAGCTCGGTGCCCATGCCAGTGGGCCCCAGGCTCAGTCCAGGCCTGCACCCCAAAGTTGTACTCTAACAGCCTCCCCACTTCCCACAGAGGCCCCACCATTGTGGGAGGGCCCCTGCAGCTCCCATGTGACACTGTGGAAATGAATACTGATCACCCAATCATCAAACAGAAGGGTTCCATCCAGATCAGGGAGAGGGCCCAGGAGGAAGAACCCCTGGCTACAGGCAGATAGGATGGCTGTGCAGCACTCACTGACACGTGGCTGGAGACCAGGGCACGCTCCAGGATGAGGCCTTCACGGAGCTGGTGCTCAGAGGCCATGGGGACCCATCCCACAGGGTCCCTGCAGCACAGGGCCTACCGCTCACCCCTTTGCTGGCCCCAGCAGCCTTGTCTCACTGGGCACAAACAGTACCTCTAGATCCCTTGCTATACCATGCTATGTCTCCGACAGCTGGCGGCCATGGTGTACGGCCGCACTGTACACGCTGTGCTGCACCCTGAGTCTCTGGGTTGGGAGCTCTAAGTTTGAGGCTGGGCCCTTAGTGGACCGGGGCTAGATGTGTCATGGAAAGCTGCCTCTCTCTGCAGAGTGTCTTCTGAAGGTGATTCTGTTCTTCCAATCCCCACTTAGGCTGTTCTTTCAAGCAGACTGCCAGTTCCTGGGCCCCCTCCCACAGGTAGAGAAGTCTCATTCCCCTCCCCACCAGCATATAGGCTGGCCTGGTGACTCGCTTCTAACAAATGGTTAGAAGAACTTGGCAGAAATACACCGTGTGACTCCTGAGGTGAGGCAGGAAAAGGTAACCCAGCTTCTGCCTGGCTCTCACGTCTCAGGGGACACTGGCCCTTAGAACCCAGCTGCCATGTTGGGAGAAAGCCCAAACCACAGCCAGCACCAACTTCCAGACATGTAAATGGGTGCCTCCACCAGGACCCAGGCCCACTACTCTGTGAGTACTGCTACCCAGGAGACCCCAGGGGAGGACCGCCCAGCCGAGTCCTGTCAACCCCAGAACCATGAGGGAGAAGCAGAGTGACTCTTGCATCTCAGGCCTCTGAAGTTTGGGGTAACCTGGGGCACAAGGACAGATGACTTGGGGAAGGCCCCCAGACACCCTCTCCTTCTGGTACCTCAAGGCTCTGCATGGGTCTCTGTCCCACCAAGCCTCCTGTGGACACTAGTGGGTTTGTCTTCTTTCCCCTGGACCATAGGGGTTCTGTGGGGCCATAGTGTGCAGTGATCTTGGTCATGTTACATTCCCAGAGTGGGCAACAAGAGACACTCAGGGCACATTGAGCTCCCTTCTTAGCCCAGCGCCCTGCTGAGCTGGGCCTCACGGAGGAGCGGAGGTGTCACCTGTGCGTTAGGGACCACCAGGTGCTTGGAGAGCTTGGTCCTGCTGTCGATGAGGCTGCTCCAGTCCTGCAGGTACACGGTGCTGTGGGAGGAGGTGCATCAGCAGAGTGGGTGACCCCACCTGTGGGTGCTAGGGTCCAGTGGAGGATCCAGGCCCAAACCAGTCTGTTCACCAACCACCACAAAACCTACCTCGATGTACATTTTTAAAAGGCAGAGAAAATGAAAATATTGTTATCTGTTTAAAAATTTCAAATCAGTGGCATGCAGTGGCTCAAACTTGTAATCCCAGCACTTTGGGAGGCTACGGTGGGCAGATCCCTTGAGCCCAGCAGTTTGAAACCAGCCTGGGCAACATGGTGATACCTGGTCTCTATGAAAAATACATTCATTTAAAAAATTTAAAAAAAAAAACAAACACAAACAGTCCTGCATCTAGGTGGCTATGAAAACACTGAGTACCCTAGGGCTGTTTTGAGCTTGTGGAGAGGCCGAGCAGAGGCAGCCAGGCCAGAGGTGGACACTGCTCCAGGGAACCAGGGTGAACACAGTGGGCAAGGCTGGCAGTGTGTGAGGATGGCTCACTACCGCCCCACCCCGTCACCTCCCCATTTCAACTTGGGGTCCTGGTGACCTCGGTCCCAGCCCCTGGCTCACAGGATGGGATGTGGGGCTTTGACCCTTCACCTGCCAACGTGAGCTCTAGGGAGGGCTGAGAGTGACACCTGTGCTCTAGACCAGATAATTCTAGAAGGAGCCCTCTCTGGGGTCTCTGCTGGCCCTGTGTCTACCCTGCCCAGCCCAGCCCCAGCCTCTGGGACTCTAAGGCCGTCAACTTCTGCTGTGTGAAAAGGAGTTCCTTCAGCACTGTCATCCCCAAGGCCCACCCTCTCAGGCAGGGCAGCCAGGACTGGAAGACACCGCTGGGTCTCTGCTGGAACCATGGCTGATGGTCACATCCTCTCAGCCTGGGGGCTGCTCTCACCCAGACACTCCCAGGGTCTCTGCTGTGAACCAGTCCTCAATCTCAGCCCTGGATGTGATGTCCACCTTTGTGATGCTTTCCTTGAGAAGTGAGAAGGCCTGGATCAGTCCCATTCACTCACATTTTATCCTTCCCCCAACCCATTGGCCTCTGGTGCCATGTTTGGCTTTATTCATTGTTAGCGAGAACAGGATCCATTTCTGGTTTCTTTCGACTGCATAGACAGGTCTATTCCCGCCCTGATGCTGATACATGCCCGCTCCCTGCCCAGCTGGCTCCCCAGCCCTCCTGCCACCATCTCCTCCCTCTGCTCAGAGTCCCTCAGACCTTCTCTTCCTCCCTAGGCCAACCCCAGGAGCTGCGGAGTGAGGCCCATGCCCTTGATGAGTTCCCAGAACCACCTCAGACCACTGCCCGCCATCCCTCACTGTGGGCACCCAGAGTGCTCACGCCCTCACAAGCCCCAGGAAAGAACAAGGGGGGTGCTGTCCCACCTGCAACACCGCCACCTCCAGCTTGGTGTCCATGGCAGCCAGGCCCACCTGCCCTTGCTCCGCGGCCATTTGGTGAAAGAAGCATCTCCATTTGGTCGGCCTGTCTGAGAACTGCAGCTGCAAATGCAGGCCTGAATGCCATCTGCGCACACACCCCCTGCCCGCCCCAGTCCCCACACAGCCCCTGTGGCTGGCTCAGGCCTCCAAGGCACGGGCATCTGTGCTTGTAGTGAATGCCCACAGCTGCCCTGAGGACTTGCCCAGCACCAGACTCTACAGGTGAAAGGTTACAGCCCTTACCAGAAACTGGGGTCTCCCCAGTGCCGTGAGCTTAATGGCTTAGAAGTCGTCGTCGTTGGCTGCACCTGTCAGAAGCCACAGGAAAAGCCTTGAGGGCCCTGAGAGGTGCACAGAGGCAGCGCGGGGTGGGATAGGGAGGGCTGCGGCCTGGCCAGCCCGCAGCAGGCTCTTGGCCCCACCCCACCCCGCCCGTGAAGGCCTCACACATGGCGCTCTGGAGGCCCTGTGCAGATAGGAGGAGGCTCCGTGGCGGGGTTTGTGTTTGCCATGCAGGTGTGGGACAGCTCGGCAGGGGACAGGACAAGAACTGCCTGTCCCCTGCCGAGCAGCTCCATGGGGTTCCTGCCTCAGTTTCCCCCCGTGACACCAGCACCACAGGCTGCTCGCACGTGAGTCACAGGACCCAGAAACACCAAGCATAGCTAAGCAGGGCCCTCTTGCTCAGAACTCCACCCCAGAGCCGGGCTCTCCCAGGAAGCTCTGATCAAGTACAGGTTCCTGCCCCCGGGCAGCTGGCTCTGCAGTCCCACCCTGTCCTCCAGGCCAGCCCTTCTGCAGCATTCTTGCCCCTGACACTTCTTTCCAAGCAACACCAGACATACTCCTTTAAAGTGAACGCAGCTCTTACCATCTCATCATGTTTAACACCACCCCAAAGGAGCATCTGCTTCTGCAGGGCCTTCTCCTTCCATCTGCCCCGGCAGAACAGGAAATGGGCAAGGAGAAGACACCCCTCACCCTGATGGCCCAGCATTCAGCTGGCCACTCTGACCCTAGCCCCAGTCAGGAGGCGGCTTCCAGGCACTGCTCAGAAAGGCCAGGTGCAGTGGCATGCACCTGTAATCCCAGCACTTTGGGAGGCCGAAGTGGAAGGTTCGCTTGAGCCCAGGAGTTTGAGACCAGCCTGGACAACACAGCGAAACACCATCTCTACTAAAAAACATGAAAATTAGCTGGGTGTGGTAGTGTGCGCCTATAAACACAGCACTTTGGGAGGCCAAGGCAGGGTGATCACTTGAGCCCAGGAGCTCCAGGCCACCCAGGGCAACATATTGAGACCTCATCTTTTTTTTCTTTTTTGAGATGGAGTCTCGCTCTGTTGCCCAGGCTGGAGTGCAGTGGTGCTATCTCGGCTCACTGCAACCTCTGCCTCCCAGGTTCAAGCGATTCTCCTGTCTTAGCACCAGGAGTAGCTGGGATTACAGGCACATACCACCACACCCGGCTTATTTTTTGTATTTTAGTAGAGACAGGGTTTCACCATGTTGCCTGGGCTGGTCTCAGGCAGTCCACACACTTCAACCACCCAAAGTGCTGGGTTTACGGGCATGAACCACCATGCCCATCCATGAAACCTCCTTACAAAAATTTAAAAAAAAAAAAAAAACATAGCCAGGTGTGGCAGCATGCACCTGTAGACCCAGCCACTCAAGAGGCTGAGGTAAGAGCATAGCTTGAGCCCAGGAGGTCTAGGCTGCAGTGAGCTATGATCACACCACTGCACTCTAGCGTGGGCGACAGAGCAAAACCCAATTTCATTTGGGGAAAAAAAAAGAACACAACAAGCATGGGACCCGCTGCCCTGACGGAGGGCTGCTGGAGCCAGCATGAGGTTATGCAGGGTTAGGTGTATCTCTAACACTAAAGGACACTGGGCTTTGGTGACCTCTGGCTTCTCTAGCCCTGGAAGCAGCTGCTCCCCCCGCCTCTGGTTCCCAGAGTCGGGGTCAGGGAGGGGTTCACAGGCAGATGGTGTGGCACCAACTCCCTGAACGGAATCTCCACCCTGGGCTAAGGGTGGCTCCACAGCTGACATGGACCAACTTCCTGCAGCTCCTGGTCCTGACCCTGAACCAGGGAGAAGGGTGGGGAGCATGAGGCAGGGTCAGGGAACAGGGAGCTTGGGCGGGGGCAGGAGGTACCATCTTGGAGGCAGCAGGGCCCCTCAGGAAGGGGCTGAACAGTGTGGAACCCAAGTGAGACCGGAACCCAGCCCTCTGGCTCCTGCACCAGCTTGGCGTTCACCCACCAGCACCTCCATGAGCCCAGGGGTCTGCCCAGGCCAGGGCATGGCAGGGGTATAGCTAGCAAAGAGGAAGCCCCACCTGAGGCCTCGATGCAGCTCAACAATGTTTCCATGTGGCTGTCGCATTTGGCCTCGTTGGCGTAGAAGTAGGTGCAGGCACTGATGACGCCATGTCTGCGGTCCCCGAAGGCCCAGTGGGCCTGGTATTGCTTCTCCCACTTGTTCGTGCCTGGAATGGTGAATGCACAGCCTGGGCACAGCTTCAAACACCCACCCCAGCACCCACATGCCAACGTCCCAGAGCCCCTCCCCTCAGGAAGGCCCCAAGGGCAGTGGCCTTGCCAGCTTGGCCCCAGCACTGCGCTGCCCCATAACTCCCATCCCCAAGCCCACCCTCCTCTCTGCACCAGGCTCTTCCACCTGGAGTGCTGCGTCGCCCGGCTAAGCCTCCTCATGAGGCCAGGACAGCAAAGCCTCCTTAACAAAGGCCTGGGTCCCCCAGGAGGCTGTGAAAAAGAAGCAGGGCGTCTCCTTCTTCAGATGCTTGTGAGTATGTCAAAGCCCAAAGCAACAGGGCAACTGCCCTGGACATAGGAACCCGGGTACCAACTTGTGCCCCAGGCTAGACCCTCCTGAGCCACCAGGCGGTGTGCAGGGTGGGGAGGGTGTCTGTTCATGCAAGGAGGCCTCTCACTCACCACTGCCATCCCTCTCCGCAGGTGAGGTGCAGGACCTGTGGGAAGGAGAGGGAGGGCAAAGGTCAGGGTCACAGCACCTGGGCCCCAGACACAGGCAAGTTCTCCCTGAGGTTGCCTGGAGAGCCTCACCACAGCCCCAGGGGAGGGCAGGTTCCAAGGGCAGGCCCCAGCCCCACCTTATCCTGGGGTGGAACACCTGGGCCAGGGAGAGGCAGCAGTTTATGGGCTGTTATGTCCTAAGGTCTCAGGAGCCTGGGGCTCCTTGTGGGTGGAGAAATCCAAAGGATATGCCTGAGTTCTCTGAACAGCCCAGGGCTGGCTGCAAGTACAGGAGCATTCCTGGTTCCAAGACAGAGCCAGCCAGGGCTGAGAGGAATGGAGGCGGGAAGGCACAAGCACACAGAGGTCCCCAAATCCCCAGCAAGGCCCCCTTCCTCAGGTCTCCACCCGAGAGCCAGGGTCTCCAGGCACCATTGATGCAAGCGCCAGCTCCTGCCCCACACAGCCGGCCCTGCAGTCCCGCCCTGTCCTCCAGGCTGGCCTTCCTGCAGCATTCTTGCCCCTGGCACTTCTTTCCCAAGCAATAACCAGAAAAATTTCTTTAAAGTGAAAGCAGATATTACCATCTCATCTTGTTTACCACACCCCACTCCAGGTTCCCATCACTTCCTAGTAATGCCAAAAGTCCTGGGCCCCTGGCTTGAGCACCTCGAGACCAGTGAGGCCAGGATGCAGGCTGCCCCCAACGAGGCTGGCCATGCTCTGCTCTGGCTCAGCTCTGCTCAACCCCTGTCCTTCCTGCAGGTGCCTCTCCATCCCTGCCTGGCCAGCACCCCCATGCCCACCGGAGCCTCTCTCCTAGGTTTGCCTGGTTCCCCTCCAAACCAGCCCCGCACCCCTGGCAGAGCCACTGTGAACACCCTCTTTCTCCTCCTCCTCATGGCCACAGTCTGCTTCCTGGAACTTGGTTTTGTTGCTGTGTCATTCAGGCTAACAAGAGTGGCTCTTAAATCTACTGTGACAAAGTGACCATGGTCTCCCTGGCCCCAGGAGCAGCTCTGTGGGTTATCTGACTTTGTATTCAAAGCCTGATGAAGTCAGTGGCCGTGGAGAGAGCTCGGCTGCATGGCCAACAGGATCCACAGCCTCCCTGAGGCTCCCCAGAGGTGCTTGGACCCATGGGGGCAGCTCTGCCCACACTCACAGGAGGACAGGGTACCCCTCAAGTCCCGGGAGGAGTAAAGGCAGAGCAGTGGTCAGTGAGCCGCATCCAAGAGGCCTCCACGTCAAGGGGTGTGAGGTGCCTGCTCCACCTAGCTGTTCAAGGAACAAGCCCTGGGCCAGGAGCTCCCACCAGGAGGCCTTCCCTTCCATCCACTCCTGGGCAGCCCCACATGAGCCAGGGACTCCCCACATGCTGCCAGAGCCCCTGAAGCTACAGCCCAGGAATGGGAGCTGGCAGGCAGATAAGCTCTGACTGCCTTGTACTGACAAAGCGAAGTAAGTGAAGAGGGTGGAATGTCACCGTATGACTAGGGAACAGGCAGGCAGCACATGACCCCCTGCCTGGGACAGGGAGCTCCTGGGCCCCTGGCTTGGGCACCTCAAGACCAGTCATGACATCAGCCCCAGGACCTTCACTCCGAGGCTCAGGTACAGCCAGTCAAAAGCCATCCCCAAGGGGGACCCATTGTCTATGCTAAGGCCACCCCCACAGGGAAAAGGGGGGCACATGGCACTGGCAGTCACCGGATGTTAGAGGACGAAGGGTGAACTGGTGGATGTGGGGCCCTGATCAGGTGGGGACCACATGGCAATGCCTCATTAAAGCCGGGACCCACCTCATGCTCTCCCAGCCCCACCCTTGATCATGCCCAGGGCACAGTCTATGGAAGGGCACATGCTCGCACACGTGGCCACAACCCAGGACACAGAGGAGGGAAGAGTGACAAGGGGACACGGGGCAGAGGCAGACAAGCAAGAGAGCATCTTCAGAGACAGCAGGAAGACCCTGACCACCCCCTCGGCCTCTACCGAGCTCAGCTCTGGGTGGCTGTCCCTGGTGATGTGATGCCTGTTTGAAACAAGCAGAGCATGGGGGTCCATGCCCCACCCTTGTCTAACTCTCCCCTAGAGGGAAGCCCAGCAAGCCCCTTCCTACCTGTACCTCCCTCCCCAGCTCCCCCAGCCCCTGCCTCCCCCGTCCCTGACCCCAGCCACTTGCTCAGGACACACACTGCACACACATCCCAAGTGAGCTGCCCCAGCCTGGGAACCAAGGCCCAGACCCTGCCACCAGCCAGCCCTGGGCCTGCACAGCCAGACCGATGCCCCCATCCACCCGCTAGGGTGTCCCATCACAGCCTAATCAGAAAGGTGCCTTGGCCCCTGCCCCATCCCCAAGCCCTCAGCCTGCTTGGGGGCCCCCTGGAACTCCTCTCCTGGGGTCGGGTGGGCCCTGGCCTCTGGGAAGCATGGTCCCGCCCCTCTCTAGGTGGGCACTGCCCTCCTGCACCTCCAGCTCCCACCTCCTCCTTCTTTCTTGGAAGCACTGCTGGGACTCGCTTTGCTATGCTCTCAGATGCCTCCACCCTCCCTGGGCCTCAGGGTTAGGCCAGCACCACCCACATGGCCTTAATTTGGGGCCGTGACCTCACCATCTCTCCCCAGAGCAGAGCCCATGGGCCTTGTGACAGGAAGGTAGGTTAGGAAGGCAGATCTCTAAGCAGTTCCCTACACTAGGGTCTGCATGACTGGTCACTCCTGGCCAGGCAGGCCATGCTGCCGTGTGGACATCAGACCAGCGCTTGCAAGCCCAGCTCTACTCCTGAGGCTCAGACCCCTTTGAAGGCACAGTGCAGCAGAGCTGGGTGGGTGTCCTCACCACACACACCTGTGAGGACAGGAGAGAACCCCACCCACTTCCCAGAGCTGGAGCAGGGCCCCTGTAGACAGCAGCCACCAGCAGCAATAGAGGTGCAGCCTTTGCAGGGCAAGGGACTGAGGCTCCTAAGGGCACAGGTGCCCAATCCCCTGGCAGAGTGGAGGCCAGCCAACTTCCAAACACTCAGCTTGCAGGGCAGGGAGGAAGCCCGACAGGACCACCCTGGGAAAGGAGTCTTTTCATACCAGAGGCGCCTGAGAGGAAAACCCCATTGTGAAATGAAGTCCCCACCAGACTCCTGAGGACACACAGGCTGTTGGTTATTCAACAGGCAGCTCAGCAAAGGCTGCAGCCAAGGGCCCAGGCAGCTGTGAGGCCCACAGGGCCAGCTAGGAACACAGGGGGCTGCAGGGACTGGAGCACTCCACCTTCAAAACAGCCAATCACAAGGCAGGGGCTGGGCTCTCCTGGCCAATCCTCCCTGGGCAGCTGGTGACCCACATGCTGAGGCAGGCCATGGACATTCCGTTCCCAGGGCTGGAGGCCTCATGCGACTGCCTTTCCCTCCCCTTCCCAGGTCAGCCACCTGGGGAGGGGCAGAGCAAACACCAAGGCCTGACAAGGTCCACAGAGGGCCTGTCCTGAGCCTCAGGTGGGTCAGGCCCAGCTGCTGTCAGGAGCAGGAGACCCAAATACATAGGGAGACACAGGAAGATCCCATCTTTACAAAAAAAAATTAAAAATTATCGGCCGGGCGCGGTGGCTCACGCCTGTAGTCCCAGCACTTTGGGAGGCCAAGGCGGGTGGATCACGAGGTCAGGAGATCGAGACCATCCTGGTCAACATGGTGAAACCACGTCTCTACTAAAAATACAAAAAAATTAGCTGGGCATGGTGGCGCAGGCCTGTAATCCTAGCTACTCAGGAGGCTGAGGCAGGAGAATTGCCTGAACCCAGGGGGCAGAGGTTGCGGTGAACAGACATCGCACCATTGCACTCCAGCCTGAGTAACAAGAGCGAAACTCCATCTCAAAAAAAAAAATTATCCAGGTCTGGTGGTGCATGCCTGTGGTCCCGGCTACTTAGGAGGCTGAGATGAGAAGATCACTGAGAAGGCTTAGGTTGCAGTGAACTACGCACCACTGCACTCCAGCCTGGGTAACAGAGCAAGACCCTATTTTAAAAAAAAATTGTTGATAAGAAAACAAAACAAGGGCCGGGCGCGGTGGCTTAAGCCTGTAATCCCAGCACTTTGGGAGGCCGAGGCGGGTGGATCACGAGGTCAAGAGATCGAGACCATCCTGATCAACATGGTGAAACCGTCTCTACTAAAAATACAAAAAATTAGCTGGGCATGGTGGTGCGCGCCTGTAATCCCAGCTACTCAGGAGGCTGAGGCAGAATTGCCTGAACCCAGGAGGCGGAGGTTGCGGTGAGCCGAGATCACGCCATTGCACTCCAGCCTGGGTCACAAGAGCAAAACTCCGTCTCAAAAAAATAAAAATAAAAAAAAACAAGAATAAATTTTGTCACACAAGAAAATTATATGAAATTGAAATTACTGTGGCCGTCCTAAGCCAGAATGAAGCCGCTGTGGCAGAGAAGGTGTGGTCCAAGGCTGACAGTCTGCGCTATCCGGCTGTTTACACAAGCGTTTGCTGACCTGATGGAGGAGGCTCCACTACAGCCTCTCTTCTGCAGGGATTCCTGACCCACAGGCAGGTCCCACTGCCTGACCCTTGAGGGGCCCCAGCCTGCCCTGCAGGTGTGGAACCTCCCAGGCCTGGCCCTTGTCCCAGTGTCAGTGGAGAACAGAAGTGAAGCCAGGAGCAGTGTGGCAGGCCAGCCCAGAGTCTGCTCCTAGAGGTCACTAACCTGATACAGAGCCTCTTCACGGGACAGTACGTGTAGAGGGCGGTTGGTACCACCCTGACCCACCCTCCTGGGCATCAGGGCAGAACAACAAGACCATGTTGCCTCTGCTTCTTGGAGCAGTGCCTGGTTCATGGGAGACCATGCAAGACCAACCATTCTTTGCAAAGTGCTTGGTTCATGCGCTGGTGCCTCTGCCCCGCCAAGCAGTGGGCTAGATAAGGCCAAGGGCCATTCTGTGCTCAGCCTCCTCAGGCCTCACACACACCAGGCCTCCCATGAAAGCCCAGAGCTGCCATCCGCATGAAGCAAAAATGCAAGAACTCCAGGCAGAATCCAGGAGGGTCGTCGGTGTTTGGGCTGACCAAGCTCTCCTAGCCTTGGCCTCCGCCCAGCAGCTGGACACGCCCCAGCTGCTCCCACTGGGTGCTCCAGGGTCATCATCAGAGCACCCGCAGACACCCAGCAGGCCTTACTCCATCTTCCTGTGCTCAGCCTCCTCGGAGCCTAGGTCCTCCTCCACTCCGTAGTCCAGGATGGTGCCAACGCCGAAGGCCTTGTTGTGCCGGATCAAGGGCTGGATGGACTCCTGGTCCTCACCGGCTACAAAGTGCCCATAGAAGGTCATCTTCATCAGCTTCTTGAATAGCCTCTGACCTAGAAGTTTCCCGGCAACATACAGCAGCTGAAAGGTAAAGGGAAGCCACTGTCCTGGGCTGCCTGAATTTCCCTTCCCCAGCAGGGCACTTCTCTCATCCCCAACCACAACACGTAACCCCAGCCATGGGGCCTCGATATGTTGACTGGGCTTTCAGTGTTGATTTCATGGTGAAGACCACCCGAAGCTGCCTGCTTCTCCACTCTGTCTATCACTCCAGTTCCCATCCAGGACAGAGAGACCACAGGAGGTGCTGCCTGCTTGCCTGAGCACACTGTTCCCACCTGGACTCTGACCCTTCAGGGGCCCACTCATGGATCACTCAGCAGCACAAAGTGGGTGCCTGACAACCACTTGGCAGATAAAAAGGAGAATGGCCGGCCTCCCAGGGGACAGCAGCGGGCATTTTGAGACCATCCTATGTTTCCACACCTTGGCAGTTCTGCTGGGGAAGAGGAGAATCTAACCTGACTTTCTAGTACTTGAGTGCCCAGATTTTTCAATGTTTTTTTTTCTCTTATCCAAAGTCCCTAAAACAGTGTGACTGACACGCAGGCAGCCCCAAATGGATGCTAAATAACAAATGTGTGAAACTCAGGCTGGGTCTGCGCCCAGCTCGAGGGAGGCATGCCCTGGCAACAAGGACAATGAGCTAGGTGACCGTCCACAGGGCCTGTGAGATGACGCCCGCCCCGTAACCCATGGGCTCTTCAGGGTCATCTGGGGCTGACCAGCCACTCTGATGGACGTACCCCTGAGGAAGACACTGCCCAGGAACTGCTCAGCTGTCTCCTCCAATCACATTTTGCCACATCGCTCATTCGGATGTCCCAAGCTGCCATGCACTAAGCACCTTTTATGGACTGCAAACAACCAAAGGAAACCAACCAGAATCTCACAACCTGGTGGTAAGGGAACCCCAAAGGGAAAGGAGGGACTCTGCCTATGACTCAGGACAAGGGGATGGGGCAGTGCCTACAGGGTAGGCCATGGGTATTTACTAACCTAGATCCAGGAGTGGGGCTTGTCAAGGTGAGGAGATGGCATGGAGAACTGGGGGAGCTCCAGCACAGGGGAGAGCCAGGGCAGGAAGGACAGGGACAACGAGAGGCTGCTGGGAGAGGAGGGCTGAGTGCGATGCTCAGAAGCACATCTCCGCCCTGTGTCTGCCGCCCCTGCCAATCAGCCCCAACACAAGAAGAGCCTGGATTTCTCAAACCCGATGGATACTTGAACTCCGTTTTTGTGGGGAGCATCTCTTGAGACCATAATTTCAGGAACTTCTAGTCTAAGCAGAAGCATTAGCGAGTCAAACACTGTTACCCGCAAGCCAGCCCTGAGCACCCACACTCAGGCCCACAGGCAGGCATGGCCCACCCCCACCCCACCTTACCCTCAACATTGGTGCCCCATGGAGACACCGCCTGACCGTCACCCCTGGGCACGCCATGGGCAGCTCCAAGGACCAGGGTTTCCCAGGCAATCACCCCTGCCTTCCTGCAGCCTCCATGAAGAATCTGACTTTACTACATTTTGTTATTTTATAAAGAGGATTAGAAACCGGAAAACCAGCATGCCGACATCTGAGAAGCAATGTTCTCTGTCTCTCACTGAGCCTGAGCTTGGCCTCGTTCCTGCCAGGCAGCACCCAGGGAGAGCTGGGAGGACAGGACAGGTCTGAAACATATCAAAGATCACCCAAGTGGCAGTCAGGAGAACGGGGGACCTGAAAACCATCACTTGGCTCAGTCACGTCCAGTCTGAACCATCAGAAACACAACAGGAGGGAAGGTGGCAGCTGTCCGCTGCAGGGGCTGGCACAATTGCCACACAGGGCCATGCAGTCTCTCTCGACCTAACTGCTCGCCTCTACACAGCCAGCTCCAAATGAAGGGGTGAGAGCCAGGCTGCACTGGCTCCAGGGATGCTTCCTAACAAAGACAGGGGGCTGTGGGACTGGGACTGGGCCTGGGCCGAGGCTGGAAGCTCCCTGCACAGGGCTGCAGAAGCACAGAGGCAGGGCTGGCAAGTTTATCTATTTTTTTAGAGGCAGGGTCTCACTCCTGGGCTCAAGAGAAACTCCTGTCTCAGCCTCCAGAGTAGCTGCAACTATAGGCATGCACCACCACGCCCAGCTAACTTTTTTTTTTTTTTTTTT